GTATATAGTTATATATATATATATATATATATATATTATATATATATATATATAGATATATATATATATATATATATATATATATATATATATATATATATATATATATATATATATATATATATATATATATATATATATATAAATATAGATGACATCATATCTCAACGCAAACGCTTTTACACAATGATGAGTTCCTGAACTTTTGGAAGATTTGAACCAAAAACTCGTTCATTGGCCTACGACAGCACATCTGACAATCCATCAGTCTTAGTGTAAGTGCTTTATTGAATTTGTCTACCTTTCTCGTTTTTTATATATCATTGTATCTCTTCTACATCGATCTCAGTGAAAGTGCGCTGGAAAGTCGTGGGGGGTTTTTCCCCCTGAACTCTTTTATAAACTTGTGTCTTATGTATTTCTTCAGCTATGCAATATAATCCTACCCTACACATACAAAACATGAGTCTTTCCGCTCACGTCAACCCCCCCCCCCGCGCCCCAGGGGTAACCTATAGAAATGCACCTTCACCAGCTAATGTTCACACAAAACAATATAGTACAATCCTACCCTACTCATGCAAAACATACGTCTTTCCGCGTACTCTTACACCTCGCATACATACACCATACACAGGCCGAGTTTGCCAAGGCCGAGATCGACCTAACCGAGAAAGGCTTGACCTTCTCCTGTGGTAGTGGGTTGACTGCTTGTGTCCTGGCACTAGCGGCGCACGAGTGTGGGCGTGCAGACGCAGCTGTGTACGATGGTAGCTGGACGGAATGGGCTAGTGACCCCGATACCAAGAAACTGGACTCGATGATGACATAGGCTCTTAGATAAACATAAGAGAATGAATGAACAGTAGTATAGGTGTGTGCGTTTTGAAAGAATGTATGAACAGTAGTATAGGTGTGTGCGTATTAAAAGAATGAATGAAGAGTAGTATAGGTGTGTGCGTATTAAAAGAATGAATGAAGAGTAGTATAGGTGTGTGCGTATTAGAAGAATGAATGATGAGTAGTATAGGTGTGTGCATACAAGAATGAATGAAGAGTAGTATATGTGGGTGCGTATTAAAAGAATGAATGAAGAGTAGTACAGGTGTGTGCATACAAGAATGAATGAAGAGTAGTATAGGTGTGTGCGTATTAAAAGAATGAATGAAGAGTAGTATAGGTGTGTGCGTATTAAAAGAATGAATGAAGATTAGTATAGGTGTGTGCGTATTGAACGTCTTTGTATAAGTAGCCGGTTACATAGGAGACGGAGTGGGCTAGTGATCCTAATACATAGAAGCTGGACTCGATGACGGCATAGACCCTTAGACAGACATACAAGAATGACCTTGTATGTGCATACATACGAAGCGTATAGGTATCCCAATTGGCACACACACATTGATTTCTCTGAATTGGGATTGCAAACACTGATCAATTAATTGTGCGGTGTGTGCGCTTGCACTTGCGGCGCGGGAGTGGGGGAGTGACCCGTGTACAAAAGCTACGGACTTAAACCAACCGATCACACACCGTGGTTTATTACGAGGAATGGATGGGTTGTAATACGAGGACACCTACTGGTTACACTGAATCAACCTCCATACGGGTTTGAATTCATTGTACAATACACTGAATCAACCTCCATATGAGTTTGAATTCATTGTACAATATACTGAATCAACCTCCATATGGGATTTGAATTCATTGTACAATACACTGAATCAACCTCCATATGGGTTTGAATTCATATAATACACTGAATCAACCTCCATGTGTTTGAATTCATATAATAAACTAAATCAACCTCCATATGTGTTTGAATTCATATAATACACTGAATCAACCTCCATATGTGTTCGATTTCATTAAACGATACACTGAATCGACCTCCATATATGTTTAAATTCATTACATACGAACGTTCAGGGGGGTAGGGTACGATGGCAATGGCCTACAGTAGACTAGTTCACTTGCAGTACGGGCAATGAAACGTATGGAAGATAAACCTGTATCACAACTTACATTGCAAATTCAGTTGAATTCGATATATCGAATATGCCTTCACTGGCAGAAAAATATGAGTACAAGTATACATATATATACATATATGCTTCTGTCTCTACAGATGTGAATATAAGTATATGTAGTATTAATATATAAAATTCTATATATATATATATATATATCACATAATATCATATCATATCATACACACATATGTATATGTATATATATATCACATAATATCACATAATAACATACATACCTGTGTATATGTATATATATATATATATATATATATATAAAATATATATATATATACATGTACATGTACATGTACATGCATATGC